ATGTGCAAAATTATTTTATTGGGAGAATGTGCAGTTGAAAATTAGTTTAGGAAAAATGAGTTTTTAGAGAATTTGGCTCAAATGGGGGCTAAATCTTTTGTGTAAATCGCAAAAAATTTGGTTTACTTTGATAAAGAAAAATAATTAAATGAAATCAAACTAACAGATCTCCTAAGTTTCTATATGTCAAAGAGCTTATCAAATGGGATTATTTTCTGGAAAATTTATGACCTCTTAACATTTTCTGTAAAACTTGATAAATCAATATAAAATAGATCTCCATAAAATTTGTCTAGATGAATGCAAAAATGAAATGCTGAGTTCAATTTTTGTTAGATGAAGCATATATGATGTTTGTGTGCATGGTATGTGAGTGTGATTTAAGATTTATGATCTAGGGCATCTGTTGTGTAAATTTTAGAGGATTGTAAGTTTTTATTCGATATACTGTAATCATGAAATTATTAATATACCTGTTTATATTCATTCCAGAAATTAATATGGTCCTTCGTTCATATGCTGATGTTTTGATTGTTATAGTTGGGGCCCAATTATCGAGAATGGATCTTACAAGGACAAACAGCGTCTCTACCTTTCTGAACAGGTAAACTTATTCATTTGTCCATGAGTTGATGTATTTAAATATTGCCTTCAATTATCAGGTAGTAAGCATCTATTAGTGTGTCAACTTACTGTTCATAAAATGTGGAGTGGTGTTTAATATGCATTGCACACATTTCTTACCCTTTTGATTTATAAGAAATCATTTGAAGAGACAAGGACGTGGGTTTATTTATTTCAACTAAGATTTACCCCCTTTTTTTACACCATGGTAGTGGTCAAATTTATTTTTGAGACCAGACTCTCCCTCCCTCCCTCCTTTTGTTGTTGTTAATGCTTTACAGCATTGTTTGTAATGTTTTTTAATTACACAAGGACGCTAAAACATGTCTAGTTGCACTCACAGAAACACATAATATTACACGCCATTTTTTATTTATTCGGATTAATACAAGTTGGAATATGTCTACCTTCTGTTTATGGTCAGCAATACATGAAATAGTCTTTACACCTATTATAGCTTGCATTATTCTTCTAGTTATGGCTATATTGAAAATTCAATTCTGTATATTTTAATTCATCTCCTTCCATCTTCTATAACATGAAATCTAATGATTTATTTCATTTTTTCCCCACTTTTCGTCAACGTGGGAGATATTAATGGTAAATAGTTTCAACATAAGTAATGAATTTTCTTTTTTCTTGTATTTTGCATATTTTTCCTATAATTCCTTCCCTCTTAACTTTCTCATCCACCATGCAAAAGCTCTTTTGTGGGTTATTCTTCAGCATTTCTGTTATATTTATCTCCTACAGGTTGTGACATTTTTGTTCTTGTAAAATAGACTGTCTTCCACTGTTATGTACTAAAGCTGTGTTATTGTTGGAATCGCTTTTTATAGATTCCCAAATCTCATAATTTTCAATTAGTATGCCTATTATTTTACCAGTGAACTGATTTTTTCCCTTTCCGCTGACCAGACTGATCAGACTGTGCCTAACACATTAATTGTAGCAAATTGTGATATTGTGAAGCCTCGAGTCGCTGCAGAAAACCATATAGCAAATGTAAGTTTATGACTGTACATAATTTTTAACCTAAATGTATTATTAACATGTTGATCTGATTCTCTTTAATTGCTTGATATCTAGTTCAATGAAGATGCAAGCTCACCTTTCGTTAAGAAGTACAAAACTATCATACATCCAGGAGAGGTATGAGCTGCATGAATACATGGACATGATTGGCTTCATGAACATTTATGCATACCTTTCAGATAAAATATGCATTTTATGCTGTATTTTTTCGAGGTCATTATTTATTCTCTGGTATGCCTGCAAATATTTTGCCTTTTATGTGACAAATTATAATCGTTTATGTCCTGGATTTTTTGTTTTTGAGGTGACTAAATTTGTAGCTGGAATTTTCGAATCATTCCAGTGCTCATTGTTTGCATAGCCCAAATTAGCAAACTTTCCACCTATTCTCTGATCCTTACCTTGAGTAGTCTATCTGTCTTTGCTTGACACCACATCTACAGGCATTTCAAACCAATATGAATGAAATATTGGAAATAGAAGGTGGAATTAGTGCAATTCTCCCTCCTGGAGGATAATATGCACCTCCCCATGCAACAAATGATTCCTACTTCTCTCCACCAAGGTTCATGCAAGACCCAAGTAAACTAATTGATAGACACAATAACTGATAGTCTATACAGATACCTAGTATGGTTATTAAAAAAAAAAAAAAAAATAAAAAAAAAATAAAAAAAATAAAAAAGAGATCGAAAGACTATATATGTACACACATATATTTTGGTTTTGTAAAATTTCTTGCTATTTGTTTTTACATTTCCATTGCAAGGGCCCACTAATTTCTCATCTTAGTTAATGACAACAATGACAAAAATAACTACTGCTTCAATCAACATCCTATAACCATAACCATTGATGTCATTATTTTAAATTGTCAATCACACTGTAGGTCAACAGAATCAGGGAACTTCCGCAGAATAAAAATATAGTGGCAACGCACACTGACTGCCCTGAAGTAAGTATTGATTCAAGGTGCATGTTCCTCTTAGTATAACTGGCACAATTATTTTGAAATATGTAGATTAATTTTGGTTTTGTTGTTAATACAGGTTCTTATCTGGGACATTGAAGCCCAACCCAATCGGCATGCTGTCCTTGGAGCTGCTGAATCACACCCAGATTTGGTGTGTTTTTTTTTTTTTTAAATTTTTTTTTTTTTTTCATTTGGGGGTTTCACACCCAGATTTGGTGTGGATTTTTTTTTTTTAAATTTATTCTGGAGTTTCATTTATGTTGATTATGGGGTTCTCCCTTTGCCATCTTTTTATCAACAGATTATCTCGTTTTTACTATTGATTTTTAATTTCTTTCATCCTTCCTGAACTTCAATCCATAACCTTATTTGGAAGGTAGCAGGATGTGTTAACTTTCCTGTCTCCTTATTGTGGAAGCTCTTCGCAGAAACCGAAATTTTATCTCAGAAATCAATTTATTTGGTAGGATAAATGTTTTATATCAGATTTTCTAATAGAGCTTTCATTGGAGTCTGCCTGTGGGACAGAGTACAAGCTCATGATGGAATCACAATTGATATAAATCTTACATTCTCGGGCAAGAATTATGAAGAACTTCTAGGATGAACATTGTAAACAATGATTCGGTTGGAAATTTCATGAATATTAAGTTTCTGCAAGAGGATTTTCATAGCTCTGATGATTGAACTTATATCATTGGTTCTTTTGATGGAATTGCAACATTTCAAAGTTCAAGTTATGCAAAATGCTGTGGCTTTGTGTTATCACTGTTTTTGCTGAGTCTACGTATAATATTTTTATTCAACCTTGGGGATTTCAGTAACGAGGTTTAAGGTAAACTATTATGTGGGTATTCGTTGGTGCATTACTCGTCGCAATTGGTTATGGAACAATGCTTTGATACATTAAAAGCTACACTACTTTCAGTCCATTTACTTTCATATACAGAGTACTCTGGCTTTGTACAATTTTTGAAGCTGTAGGAAGTTTATTTTAGTTTTGGATGCTAGTCTTGAATCCTAATAGAAATTTCTTCAAGACGAAAATAAAATAAAGTTTTGGTACTTCTGGGCATGGTGTTTTCCGAAAATGGCTTGTTCTCAAGTCAAATTCTAAGAGATAATATTCTGCATGTGGTGAAAGTTTTGCAACAAACTTTACACTTTTTAAGAATCATGAGTTCTTGTAGTCCACGCTCTGAAGGAGTATTGCAATGAGAATATGTATACAATGTTTAAATGTCACCGTTATCTAGCTACATCTTGAATAGTTCCTTTTTACCACTTGTTTGATTAGGTTCAGTTGTCGTGTTCTATTCCAGTTTCTCCGTCTGTAACTTGAAGTTGTTCTCATTCAAATCTACCTTGGCAATTTGCCCTCTTCCAGTGGCAACTGTAGTGGATACCTCATTGGATAATACTAGATTAATTGTCTATTGGTTCATTGGTTGTGTGTTTTCTGAGGTAGAGACCATGTAACATAACCTGTTACCTTTTTCTAGGTATTATCTGGACACCAAGATAATGCAGAATTTGCACTTGCAATGTGCCCAGCTGAACCGTTTGTGCTTTCCGGAGGTATGAATAATGAATCTATTATTCTCCTTTTAATTATCTGGAATAATTTCATTCTTCTGGCATTCTCTACTAAGCTTTGTTGTGGTTTTTCTATTCATTTTCTGACACGATGAAATTTCTGACAGGAAAGGATAAATCTGTGGTGTTGTGGAGCATTCAGGATCATGTTTCAACACTGGCCACAGGTGCAGGTCAGTTAACAGGATCTGCTGGTTCAGTTGTAAAAGCTGCTGATAATTCTTCTATTGGTCCACGAGGGGTTTTTCAAGGGCACGATGATACTGTTGAGGATGTACAATTTTGCCCGTCCAGGTATCTTGCACTCATCATTAACTTGATGGATTACTCATGTATTTATATTTTATGGCCCTGCTTGCTACCAATTAAAATCTAGATTTTAATATAAGTCAAAGTCAACAATTAATTATAGCCACATATTTTATGGGTCCAACAACTTTTCAACCACACATCTCATCAACTTCTATTAAAATCTACTAAAAATTTGATTTTAATCCCGGGCTATGTATAAACCAAAGTTTTTGATCCTCATCATTGTCTGCCACTTATCATTTCCTTCAAGTCTGCCTTGTTGATTAATCATATGAGGCCATTTGCTTTCCTTTTTTTCCCTTTTCATTTTCTCGTCGTGATACATTGATTATAATGTGTTTTTCGAACTTATGTAAATGTTGTAGCTATCTCGAGTATATGTTCTACTTTCTTTTCTTCCTAAATATGTATTGCTGTTATAAGTTTTTGAAATGGCGGCTTGAGTCTATATATTTGTCATGCTGATGCAGTTCGCAGCAGTTTTGTAGCGTTGGAGATGATTCTTGTTTGATACTATGGGATGCAAGGATAGGATGTGGTCCCGTTGTGAAGGTTAGATGACTCTTTTCTTTAGCACTTGATATTATGCAATTTTTCCGTTCTTTGGGATAGACCACAATATTCTTCGATGATAGACTCAATGACATTAGGTTGCATTGAGATTCAAGAATTAGGTCATTACCGCATTCTCAGCAAGAGCTTTAACTCATCTAATGTGTGATGCTTAATAATATTTTGAATCTTTGATTCTCCAGTTACAGTATATTAAAAAGGACATTTTCCGAAAAATACTGTGTAATAACTTCCTCTAATTTGTGAAGAGAGATTAATGCCTGAATTTGTCTTATTTATTGTTGAATCCAATATTTAAATGCTATTCATATGCCCACCTGACATCTTAAGATTTTAGATCAGGTGATAACATGGTATAGAAACATGTGAAGGTCCTGAGCTCAAGTTCTATCGACACCCATTTTAAAGAAATTGTGTCATTTTAGATTTTGATGGAAAAAAAAATAAAAAAAATCCCACCTACAAATGAGGCGTGTTGAAGATAATATTTAAATGATGTACATGTGATCTTATCAACATCTTGAGCTTTTAGTTGAAGTGGTCAACATTTATATTATATATTTGCAATGTATACTTGATTCAAATAATATTATTAAACTGATAAGTACCTTATCAGCATTTCTATCTCCACGTAAACTTCTTTATCATTAAGGTATATATTTGTCTCTCTTCAGAAGCAGTTTAAGTGTTGTGCTGTATTCCTACCCTGTCTTTCTGCCTACGTTGACGCTCAATTATTCATCGGTAGATTCTGTATGGAGTTTTTTGGTTGGAAATTGGGAAACTCTTGTCCCTTTCAAGTTCTGTGCAGAACTTTGGAATCAAATTAGATCCGATTATTTTCCCCATAACCTTTCTGAAAGATGACCTGTTCTTCCATTTGTCAATCCATTAAAATATTTAAATATTCTGTACTGGTTGAAGAATATTTTTAAGAATTTTTATGTTTAGTACTTATTTTCTTCTTTAGTTGTCAATGTTTTTATTCTATTTCGTATGTCTTTTATTCTTCTAATTTTGTTGAAATATAGACTAATTTCTAAATTCAGTTTAGTTATTGTTTCTGATCTGGGTTACTAAACTTTGTATCATGAATAGGTTGAAAAAGCGCACAGTGCTGATCTTCATTGTGTAGATTGGAATTCTCACGACGAAAATTATATCCTAACTGGGTGCGTCTGTCTGTTAAACATGCATATATCCCCCGTATAATGATAATAAAAGACTATTTATACGTAACATTTGATAATGCGTTTTTCATTCTTTTATGCAATTTAAGTTATCAAAGATTTAGGTTCTTATGCAATCTCATTCATTCAGGTCTGCGGATCATACAATTCACATGTTTGATCGCCGTAATTTAAGCTCTGATGGAGTTGGATTGCCTGTCCGTAAATTTGCAGGTCATACATCTGCTGTTCTCTGTGTCCAGGTATTGCATTCGCCTTTGCTGATTATATTTTTTTCAGACTATTCATGTCTAATCTATTTGTTCACTTAACTTTAACCAATTATACAAATTCCAGTGGTCACCAGGTAAATGCTCGGTCTTTGGGTCCTCAGCAGAAGATGGTCTGTTGAACATCTGGGATTATGATAAGGTGGGAAGCTCCTGATTTTCATATAAGTCTTTTCCATTCTTCTCATTGTGGTATTAACTTCTATCAGAGGGTTGATGCGCCAAACTTGTCGTACAGAAAATAATTTCAAGTGTGCGTATTATTTTAAAGATGTAAATTGTTCAAGGCCATCAACGAATCAATACTAGAATAACTTCCTTCTCACCTAACACATGAGGTATAATTTATGGCGATCTTATTATACACTGAGGGATTTCTGAACAATTTTTTTGGTTACCATGTTGCAGGTTGATAAAAGGAAAGAAAGTGGGTCCAAATCTCCAAATGCTCCTCAGGGGTTGTTTTTCCAACATGCTGGCCACAGGTAAGAAAGTTCCAACTTTTGGCTTAGCAAAATGAGTACCATGTACATTTTTCACTCTATGAATTTTATTCCTTAGCTTGCGTGTTTTAGTGCAGGATCACATGCCCTTACTCTCATCTGTCAATGCATTATATTTATTATTGAAGTATTGTTCACACTATAGAGAGCAAATTCGTATGCTAGAGTTACTAACTTGATTTTTTTTAGATACATGTATGCATTGTAACTGTTGGGAATTTTCTATGGAAGAAAATGTTGCGTTAAATTGTTAAAATTTAGATGGCATGTACACTTGAACTAAAAACTGCAGTTAGTATTAGAAAAGAGCAGGTAATGGAGAAAATTATTACTGGAGAACTATGTATCATATGCATCTTGGAAACAGAAAATTGCATTATACTGGATGAATGCTAGATTTCACTAATAACTTCAAAGGGTACATTTTTCACATTATGCTTTCCCTGTGAACTTCATTTTCTTATAGTCTATCTGACATGTAATTCCGATTGAAACTGCTTGACTCACCTGTTGTCCATTCACTCTGTGCTTTCCCTGTGAACTTCATTTTCTTTTAGTCTGACATGTGATTCCCATTGGAACTACTTGAGGATACCTGTGAATTAATTTGAACTTTGCTGTTGGAAATTATTATGAACTTAATGCAATAATACTTTGGTTCCAGAGATAAGGTGGTTGACTTCCACTGGAATGCTTCTGACCCATGGACAGTTGCTAGTGTATCTGATGATGGAGAATCCTCTGGTGGAGGTGGTACTTTACAGGTATTAGAATGTTGCCCTATTGGTACAATTTTCTGCTGGCTTGATTTGTTCTAATCCGACGTGAAATTGTGAAATTTTTTGTGGTCTTTCCAGATATGGCGTATGACAGATTTGTTGTACAGACCTGAGGAGGAGGTTATAGAGGAGTTGCAAAAGTTTAAAGATCACGTTCTTGAATGTTCGAAGACTTGACAGGATTGGTAGCTTGAATACTTGCAAAAAATGCATGTTGTCTTTGTCTAGATGTATGATCTATGACTTGCTGAATCTAAATGGGCGATGATCGACAAGAGACCCTAGCCTGACTTTTTAGATGTTGAGATTCTGCCTGAAACTCGATTTAGTGGTTGCACGCATTATGTTGTTACATAGATTTAGTTACCCCCTTCGTCTGTCTAGTTAGTAGTCTCTCCATTCCTTTAGTGTGGCCCCATATTATATAATCATTTTATTTGGGATTTCTATTTTAACTTTCACATAATTCCTTACCTCACAGAACAAAATTTGGCAAGCCCATGTCCACTGAATGAAATCCTTGTAATGAAGCAGTGTCTGGAGAAATCCAGGAAAGTGCTTGGGAGGTCATCAGTCATAGACAGGCCCCTTTATTTTGAATATGTTTTCTGTTCTATCAAGTTATTTAAATCTATGTTTATAACCCCACCTTATGCTATGAGCTGACAACAGCCTTGCACCACCTGTCTGCATTTCTAAAGGCACCCCTCTTTTTAGAGGATTCGCGGCATGTCAAGCTCTAGTGAAGATTTTGAAAGATACTATTAGTACATCAATTGTTCGTAGTTTTTTTCAAAGTGTGCACACATGCAAGTGGATGGGGTTCACGATTAAAATAATCGTGGATCACACCTTTGTGAGACAGCTTTGAAAAAAGCTGTCAAACAAATGCTGTACAAATAAAAATTTTTCAAAGATATTTGTTGCATCGAATTAAATCATATGCTCCAATTTGATTAACTGTTCATCCTACTTTCTCTATGTTCTTGACAATCAATCTTTGTATCGATAGTCTTTTAGTGACGTTTGAGTCCTCTTCTCCGATTCATGTACGAGATATTATCACTACCACTTGAACAATTAGATATCCAATCTATAATCGTAATAACCCAATCGCAAGTGTGGGACTTTACCAACCGAGCCAAATAACCTTCATCATCCCATGAGGGGTAGATTTCTCATTGGTGGTTTATTATAAATGACGCTTCAAGCAGGTACCTAAACAGTCACTTGACATACAAACCTAAAATTTTATCAAATCAGGGACAGTCAATTATTTTTTCCAAAACCAAGACAAACATCTAAGAAATAGCAAAAGAAAAATTGTAATGACAATATTATTACGGTAGGGGGACCCTTAAATTGTATGATAAAAACATCATAATGTGAAGATTAATCCTCAGTCAAAGCTGTTTATTAATGCGTATATTGCAGATCCGAACTGTAAGAAGAAAAAGGAAAAAATACTGAAAGTGTTATCGAAGTTCCATTCGAACTTGAATTTACATGAAATGTCAATAGAAATCAGATAATATGCCAACTTCAGTGACTTGCAAGAGCCAGAGACCCCGACACCAGCTTCAGCCTCAATGGTTACACACTGCAGTTTCTCCTATTGCTTCCGACATCATATAAAGAATGTGCAACGTAACAATTTCATACGAGAAAAAAGTACAGTTGCACATAAATAGCAAGAATCAACTTATAATGCAAGTACTCATAATCTGAGCTGGTCGAGTCATTTGGTCAGACACTGCCAAATAGGTACCATAAGATCCACCAAGGATGATCGCTATCTGCGTTAGTAAGTAGGCATGATCCAGAATGATAATCATCCAAATCCTGTTAAACAAAATCACAACCTACGGAGGAGTTCAACCGAATGAGATGACGAATAAAAACATAAAAGCAACATATAGCCCTTGTTTGAGCCCCATTTTTCCATCAAAATACATTTTTCAACAGTGATTTGACACTATTTCAATCACACATTTTTCAATAAAATAATATTATACGCAAATCAAAAACTTTTTCTTATTTTTTAATCACACATTTACCATCAATACACTATTCAAAAATTCATTTTATCCTCCAAAATGGAGCTCAAACAATTGCATAAGTCGACAACTATAATTACTAGCAACAATTGAAAGGTCAAAAGTAAACAAAATTGAAAAGTGAGATGTAGCTTGCCAGAGCATTACTTCCAATGGTATCCTTACATGCCTTCTATTGTAAATATCAACTATTTGGGTCATACTCCTTAAATCGACTCTTAAAACCTTCTGCCATTTTTGTTTCTTCGTCTTTGCTGAGCTGAGAATTCCTCCAGTCAGCCTTATCAGCAATATTCAACAACCCAGCCATAACCTACAATTAGTGAAATGTAAATTTATTTTATTTTTCATTGGATTAAAATGAGGATAGACAGCTCAGTAAGAAAAAAATAAGGATATACAAGTTTCAAATTTCAACCAAAGAGAAAAAACACTTTCACTTGTATAACTTTAAACACAAAGAGATGCACAGATATTTGGAAAGGTAAAACACTATAATGTATAACTTTTTACTAATTAACACATGCATGGACAGATACAGATAAGCTAATTGAGAATGCCTCTCCAATGTGTTATTTGAAAGGCCAATATATTTATTTGCAGAGCAAAGAGAAAGCGCTGCTAATTAAAAAGTGAATCCCACTCCTTGTGATTGAGGAGAAAAAAAGGTAGGATTAGCAGAGTCTACAGCCTACAGCTAATCAAGTGATTTTGTTATTATTTCCCAGTAGATTGCTCATAAGTTTAAGAATTTAAAGTCAAATCCAGAATATATTTTATTTCATCAATCAAAGTTCATAAAAATAAGCAAGCTACTTTAAGTATCACCTAACTATTCTATTATTATTTCTCTTTTTTCTTTTGGAAGGGTGGGGATCAAAGGTCCCATTGGCCTGGAAAAGCTCCGCTCTTAGCACTCGAGCTAGGCCTTGACCTCCACCTAACTATTAAATAGCCTGACAAATAGTTTTGCACATCAGATACCTAGTTGGTTGTCGTCATAAAAGGTCAAAACATACATCCACTGTCATGAAGCTCAGACGCTTACAGGTGTCTAGACATCAAACATGTGAATTGTCAAAAGTTTACAAGCCGATGAGTAGACTCAACAATTAACAAAGTCGTCATTTATGAAAATGGTAAGCTAATATAAGAATTCTGTGGAACTATTCTGCAAATATTATAGTACTTTGGATATTACTTTCCTGATTCATAAAAGAAAAAAATAAAAATGTAAGTTCATTTTTGAGAAAGAATGTATTATAACTAACATGAACAAATTTGGCCATTGCATTAGTATTCGCCATTGCATTAGTAGATTGTAGTCGTAGCATCAGAGGCTAATGGTAAGGTATAGGGTGGTGTAAGTTGTGATTGGTAAAAACTGGGTTAAAGATAGAATATTTGATGGGACCAAGAAACTCTAAATCACTACTTGGGCAAGATCACCCATGAGGCCTTTTGTATCTCACATATGGTTTAAAAAGACTTTGAGGCTTATGCCTCGAATCCCACCTAAAGTAAGGCTATCATAAAAAGCCTAAAAATCAGCACCTAATATGCCATTTGTGAGGCTTGTGCCCAAAGCTTGAGCCTCAAGGCAACTAAGGTGTTAACTCGTATTCCTGGCATTTTTCGATGTCACACAATTTCTTTTCTGCCCGCTGGATTTCGCCTCACTCTCAGTGAAATGGATAACTCACATCTGGATAACAAACAGAATAAGCCGACGCGAGTTCGAAGTCCATACCGGGTGATTTCGAACATAAATACAGGGATGAGAGCTTGATCTCCAATCAGTCCCAACTTCCGAGTAAATTGCATAAAGGAAAGCAATCTTTTAAGTTATTTCTTGATAACCTAAAATGTTTAATGGGTCTTACATTTTCTTTTTCTACCCATGTGGAAGGAAAGTGGGAATGGGAATACACCATTGCAATTGGAGGTGACAAAGAATTAAAAGAAACTTATAATATGGATTATGATGATGTTATTGATTCCCTTAAAAAAAATATTAGTAATAATGTAAGAAATTTTAAATTGGCCAGAAACTTATAATACGGATTATGATGACGTTATTGATTCCCTCATGAAAATATTAGTAGTGACAATGTAAGAAATTTTTAAGTGGCCTCCACTTTTAAAGTTAGATTATAATTTTCTTACATGATTACTAATTTGAGAGAAATTATTACCTACTTTGCTTGCAAGCTATATTTTTAATTTTGTTAATTAATTTTCTTGTGGATGAAAGGGTTTATGGTATATTATGAGCATATTCTTGTATTTTTATGATTCTTTTAAATTCTTGTATAGTTCTATCTTGAGGCTTATGTATCACCTCAAAGTGATAAAACGACTCAATACCCAACTAAGCCTTCTTTAAATAATGATCTCACGAACATTTTTGGAAATACAATAAGCATTCAACTAATATAGCCTCTATAATGCATTAAATTTATACTTTGAAGAACCTTCGACTTCCTTTAAACACTAAACCATCCATTTGATTATCTTTCTGGAAAATAAAAGATCTCCACAATCATTACAGATTCCTGGAAGGGAAAACATACCTCCCGACCAAACTGAGCAGGAAATTTTTCATTCTCCTCAATACCATGAGACAAGATTGTACCCCCTGGAACTTCCACATAAAATAAACCGAAATTTCTGTCGAAATGCATCCGCAACATTTTCCTTCCTTCGGAATCTGCAACGAATAAAACTGTTAGAGAGAGCAAAGATAAATGAAGTTGTCTATGAGGATTCACAGTACAAAAAGACGAATTCTTTTAAAGGCGAGTTAAATATAGGTAGTATCCAATGAAGTAGATATGAGCAGTCCAATTGAGGTTCAGGACATTTTTAAGATTGAGCATTGCAGCGCTAGCAAGCTACTCTTATCCACTCTCAGTTGCACACTTGTTACTTTGTAAAAAAAAACAAAATGATGCCAGAAAAACCTATTAGGTGTACAATAAGTTTATAAGGCTTGTGATGATATACTCTACTTTTCTGAATGCACAGATGGAACTTGATTATGCATTGGAGTGCACCATCAACTCAGAAAAAAGGAGCAGAAAATTTAGCATCGAACCTTGCCTACTCATTTATGGAGGCACTGGCAAGTATACCATCTATTTAAGTCATTGCAACCATTCATAATAAATACTACGTAACAGCCACACAGCTACTATGGAACTGAATGGAGACTAAGAGCCAACAAAAACACCTTACAAGTATTTCTCGTCACAAAACTGTTCAGAAGTTTATACAGACATGCAGCAGGTTGAGAAAGCCTTACTTTTGATTGTCGAAAACTTGAAACCCAACTTTTTAGCAGCTAAACTAAAAATATCTTCAGCAGAAGATGCTCTAGACGATGGTATAGGAACAGCCTACAAGCAAAAAAAAATAGATAATGGAAATGTAAAAAGAGGTTAGTTTGATAAAGCCTGGAAAATAATAAAGTTTCCACAGAATCAATGTACAAATTCTTGAATGTAAAAGAAAAAATGTACTTATAACAATACACTAAATGTTAACTAATGGTAAGAGTAAAAAGCCTCAGATATCCATGTTCAGACCTATAGGATGTCTTCCTATGCAGCTGAAACAATAATTCCCAGTCATTTTACACAAGTACTATTAAGCACCAATGTTGTGAAGGGAAGAAATGATAAAGTAATGCTGCACCAAAGCCAGTAAAAACATTGTGTCTGATCCAGTTTTCTATAGAGGATAACAAACCAAAGACAACAAGCAACTTGATGCCACCATTAAGACTACCAATAAAAGGAAAGAGTATAATTTCTCTACCTGAAGATTGGCATGAGTTGCTTTTTTGGAGACCCACTCAAAGAAAACCACTTCCTTCCCTTGGCTCTTGAAATAAGCTTTAAGACTGCTTTGATATCTAGATAATTCCTTTTCACATTCTGATGGAAGAGAAAGTGTGTTTGGTGAATGTTCAACAGGTACTATTAGCATATGGTCTTGTACTAATGGTCCTTTAGCAAGTGCACAATAGTAGTGTTCTCCTATGGTAGTGATCAAATGAGACTCCACACTGGGGCTTGACAAACAAAACCAGCATTCTTTGGACCTGAAACAAAGTCACCAATATCGTAGTTGTTAATTTCTCCCATACAAATGGGAAAATCACCATGAAAGTAATAGAGCAAGCCAATACTAAAGTTACACAGGCGAACTTTTACACTCCATTGCAAATTGAAAAGGTTGGACCTATGGATTTCCACTCCATAATAGCAAATCCAACATTTCTTTGATAGTTTTGAATTATGATGGACCATAAATCCATATCCAAATCCATAAAGCATTATGCAAGTCTTCATGATGGATTGGTACCGTCGCCAAAAAATAAATAAATAAAATAAAATAAAAAAAGAAAAATTGCCAAATTTCCCATCCTTATGATAATTGAGCTAATTGGTCTATTATATTAACACTATGGTCTCAAATCCTTTGTTAAAATATTTTTTCCAATTAATGAATTTTAAAATCAGTAGATTAATTTATGAACTGCAACATCTCAAAATCAAAAGATTAGATTAAAGAAACTCAGTAAACTCTGACCGGTTAGAGCTTCCTGTCGCAGATCCAGATCTCCTACTAGGAAATCCTTCACCATCTTCCTGAAAACTGTGCTTAAAGTTGCAATCTGGGCCTCTTTCACATTGTCCTTTGTTTAAAAAGTCAAAACAGACACCCCTCAGTGACTGTTCTCTAGCATCTGCATCATGTCGAAAATGGCACTTCTCGCCTCTCGGACAAGACCCAGATGAAACATATTTAAAGCACAATTTATCACCATCACTATCTCCATGTTTTTGCCTTTTCCGTGAGACATCATACCGCCAATACTGAGAATCAGAATCATCAGGTCTCTTTGTTGCTCCATCGGTGGGGCTTGCTTTGTCCACAACTATATATGGAGACAAAGTAGCATTTTGTGGCTTCGTGCAAAGCTCAGAAGTGGACATTGTGGAAGCAGGCGTCGGAGATATAGCATGCATGAACTTCTGGAAGAAAGGAAGATACAAGTGTTATGAAATTATTCAATATAGTGTTGAAGAAGAATATTAAGCAACATTAAACATATTAAATACTTTCCTTGAGGTACGGAAGATTTAGAAAGCATGGGGAGATATATAAGAAACTATACAGTGCGTAAACAGCACAATATCACAGCTTAGAGAAGTTCAGAAAAGTAACATAAAAGAAAGAATGAAACCTGTTTATCTTTATTTCCCACTGGAGCAAGGCCAAAAAAACGAGTCACGTGTACAGCATCAACATTTATGTATGGTTCACGAGCATAAAAGACACCCATTGTTCCAGCAATATGGTACCTACCATAGAAGAAACCTTAAATTAGGATGCAGTTTATAGTCACATGTTCACTTAAGCAACTTGTCACAAGTTTTGGTATTATCCAAACAAAGTAGCGTCATACTCAAACATCTACATCTACAAAATAGAAAAGCCGACTGAATTCTTTCGTTCAAAAATTTTCCATCAAACTACACACAGTGCAACAAATCAACAGGCTCTCCAAGCATGTTGAAAATTCGTTCCAAAGTCAATCCACTGACCGGAACACTTAGAGGAACTCCTATGTTATACATATAGATGAACATCTAGCTTAATCTCCAAATATCTACGATTCGCTGGAAAATTATCTCCACTCCCTCTGACATAAGACCTAGAAGATATAGTACGCCTAAGCTAAATATTATTTTTTTGATAGGTAATCAAATATTTTATTAATCACGAATAATACACAGACAATGTAATATCAATTTATATAAGAAAGAAACAACATATAATAGGGTAGCTCGCCTATACGAGTCATAGCCGCAGCATTAAACCAAGTATACAATGTTAAATAAAATAATTTTTCAATATGCTCTGTTGGCTGTGTATAATTATCAAAACAATGCTTGTTTCTCTCCCTTCACACACACTAGACGATACATCCTGAAATAAAGTCGTAAACAAGCTTGTTATTCTTATTACAAAATTTTCTCCTCCATGCTTTTAATACATCCTCCATACGTTGTGAAAACACCTAATAAGTGTTAAGAAGCCAAAATATTGTACCACAGGGAACGATCACCGTCACAATGAAGAAACAAGTGGTTAATTGTCTCACTTTCCTCCTACACATATAACACCAATCCGTAACATAAGATCCCTTATTCGGAGGTTATTCACCATTAACACCTACCACCTCACAATTGTTCATAGTAAAAATGCCAGCCAAGGGGCAGTTTACATTGATATATCATCTTCTAGGGGAATGAGCTTTCCACATATCCCAATAAGGATCTAAAATAAGTACCAATTGAGAAAATACGATCCAGTACCAACCTCCACCTGCTACAATCACCCTCTCCTACTCTGATGTGCACCTCATACAAAGAGGTCAAAAGAGCGCATAATCTTAGTTTAATTAGAGCTAATTTAATCCTCGTGGGAACGATACTTGGACTCATAGTCCACTTTACTACTTGTTAGCGAACCGTACATTTGCGGTGGGTTTTAAAATTGAGAAGAAATAATTTTGCGAACATCTTCCAACTCCCAGTCCTGCAGACCCCTCCCAAAAATAACAATCCAACTGAGACTCCCATTACGTATATGTAAGACTTCATTCACCATAGCAGATGGCATCAAAGCAATACGATACGGAGAAAGAAACCCCACTCTTAACAGCTGATTTTTATACCAACAATCTTCCCAAAATCTGATAATATTACCATTTCCCACCACAAGCGTCATTCTATCCCGAAAGTCTCTCCACCCTCGTCGGATATACCTCCACAAATTCACCCCATAAGAACCAAAAACCTCGACTGAGCACCATCTCCCTCCATAACACCATACTTCCAACCCACTAACCTCCTCCCCACTCTTTCTACAATACTGTTCCAAATATGTATATTTCAAAGGCAAGCACACATACTATTCAGCTTAGGAGCCAGAAAACCAACCCCCCCGATGGAACTCCCCTCCTTAATAGCCAAATCCACCACCCAACTCCATAACCATCTAACCATCACCCAAACACCACCTACCCTGTCGACGCGGCGGCGTCAATAATGCGCCGTCAGCGCAAACCCCCAACCATTGGCCTTACGCCACATATACAACAACACATGGAGGCCGCGGCCCTAGGTGAAAACTCTAGAACTGCCGCTCGAACCGGTGATAACCGGAGGCATAAGTATCTGGGATCAAGCAAAGACCCTAGGTGACGGAGAAAATGGTGGAAGGAAAGGAAAAATAGGCAAACACACGAACCAAATATTATGTGTACTTGCCTTTGAATAAAAGCTGATTTGGACTTCTAAGAGGTAAATTTATACATCATTTATCTACCAATAAATTTGTACATTATCTAGATGGAAACCCATTTCTGACCTTCAGTTTATTTATGAGGATAAACTCAACTCAATGAAGCTAAACTTTGTACCATAGTTTCTTTATATGGCTCTTGTGGAAATCATATTATATCCATGCTAGTATAAATAAAGGGAATCGTGACATTTCCAAATTGAAGTGAGATCTTTCAGGGCTCTCTCAGACTCTTACAACTCAACGGGAAGGAAATGGTACAAAGATGCTAAACCTTATGGGGCAATCATACAATTCAATTTCAGAACAAACAATTTGAACTAGTTCAAATAATCACAGAGAATTCTAACTATTTGGTTTGCCACTGAATTTGTAATTTGGAGTGGCTTTGAAAATCAGAAGTACGAGTTTTAGACTTTTCGAAAGGTAATTAATTTGAAATTGATCATTGTTAACTTGTAATTTTATTCTTAGTTTAACACGCGTGTGGCTACCCCTGTGTTAATTACTATTTTCACCTCTTTGTATCTTGATGACTTCAGTATTTCTATGTTCACTTACATTTTTATCTAATACCCAATGTTTAAAAAGACTTAATTGGGTAATGAGTCATTTTATCTCCTTAAGACGAGACATAAGACTTGAGGCGCTTTGAGGTGTAAGCCTCAAGATAAAATAATTCAAAAAATATAAAAATACAAAAATATGCCCATAATATACCAAGAACCCTTTAAAAAAAAAATCCATAATAAAGCTAATTAACAAAATTAAAAGTCTTAACTTCCAATAGACATAAAATACATCAAGAAAATATAAGATAATAAGTATCTGAAGCCACTCCAAATTACAAATTCAGTAGCAAGTTACGAGGAGTTTTATGATTGCCTCATGTGAGGAGGATTCGAGACGTAAACCTCAAATAGTTTTTTAAACCATGATAATACCTTTTTCTAACTTTGTTCCTCCTTATTGACACTTAGAGTGTGTTTAATTGACATGGAAAATATCACCTAGAAAAAAAATATTTTCCATCTTTTGTGGAAAATAAAAACCACCTCTACCCAAGGAAAATGTTTTCCTTAAAAACAAGGAAAATTAGGGATATTTTCAAAAGTTGGAAAATGTTTTCCATGGAAAAAAATAGCAATCAAACATTTCAAGTAGGAATTTGGGTGAAAAACTGATATTTTCCGTGGAAAATAAATGTAATCAAACACACCCTTACAGTGTTTTTAGAGACTTATAATCTTGGATCTTGTTATGATGTTAACTGAACCAGGAACTCTTACCATAAAGATCAGTCCTTAAGTTTGGTTACACATTCATGTTAATATACTGGCCCTTTACTCAATATGAACTACTTCTTGATCATTTCATTCTTTTACCTGTAAAACTATTGTTTGTGATGTTTTTGTAAATGTTGTATTATACCTTATAATCTAGTTCACTATTTGATTATATGAATCCCAGTTGATAACAATTGACATAAGAGGGAATTTATATTTGATTTCTCCCATAAGCAGCATATCAATATAAAGATAGGAAATACAATGGTGTCAATGGCGAATGGTTTGTGAAAGTTATTAAAGCTCTTATCTATATGAATGTGGTCCAAATAATTTTTAGAAGACATGCAAAACCATTTCCTGAAGTCAAAGCTACTATACCAAATATTAACTGAACCAAACTTCCACCAAAATAATATTGAAATTCTCACTTACCGTGGCTTGATCTCTGCAACTAATTCTGATACTGTGGAATCACCACCAGACGAGTCTAATATTACTGAAGGAACATCAGATGCAGTAGCTCTATTTGTGATCCCACTGGGCCATTCATTAGTGAAATTCAGTGAAGGAAATGAACACACAGTAATGCATAACATATAGAGGAAATAATTGGAGGCCGAGTGGCAGGGGGAGAGAGATTCATGCAAATTATTAGAATATATTAAGGATATGTCAAAAAGATGTCCACCAGTCCTGGCTCCTCTGCTAATGCCCTCAATGAATCAACATCATCTTGACTGTATGTTCCAAATTGTTGAGCACTTGCAGATTGCCTACCAGATAAGTATGCCACAGACAAACCTAGAAACGAGTACGGCAAATCAGGTTTCATTGTCATTATGTCATCTTTTAATGCCCTTGGAATAAAACTACCGATAAGAAATAGCTAATTAAAAAAATACAGAGATATCAAATGAAAACTTTGGGCAATTGTGCACACTTCAACATAGACAGATATGTATGCATAGATATAGACACGTGAAATAATAAGAGAAGCACTAGTCTAAAGTTCATAACTGCAGAAAAACACCATGCAAATGATCTTTTATATTCCCTTGCAGCAGGTATATATTCTCAGAAATGACGCACTATTGAAAACTTGAAAATGAAGCGTGTTTCCTTAAATTTCAAAACTAAAGCACAAGTTTTTACTTCTTCACTTTTTTAGAAATAACCATATACTGCATCATGAGCAACCACCATTCTTCAAAGTTTCAAAGGAGAACTATAATATGATCGAATTATATGATTACTTCTCCATCCACATACCAATCGATTCTCTGCAATCTGCATATCCATCATTCTATTAGCAAAAGAGTGCAAATTCAGAAAACCATTCAACTCATCGAAGAAAATTCAAAGAGCCGCATTAAGTTCCATAATTTGTTTGTAACAATGAAATGGGAATTTCTTGGCTCCTCTTAACAACACGTATAATCACTAGATTAAACACTGCTTGAATCCTGTGCCCAAACACACAAACATTTGTCCATCTACTCTAAGTAGATGGCTAACTACCTAACTCTTAATTAGAAGTCCATACGTTTGACATGTTCCTGCCTCAATTCACCAAGGAATATTGTAAAGTTAAATCATAGTAACATCAGAAATGATGGCCATATGCTGTCCCTGCACATCTGCACATCCATCCAATAAGTTGCGTACACCAAAAAATTTTTGAAGCATAGACAAAATCCACAACCACGTCTCCTAACTACAGTAACATAATCTAAAAAGCAACCACAAGCTGCATAAAGGTTTCATCTTTTTTACCAGCCCAACAAAGTTTATAATAAGTAAAATTAGATACGTCATAAATAAATTCCAGGGTCTACAAGTAGTTATTCACCATGAAGAGTGAACTTTCCACTTCCTCTCAACCAGTACAAATTTTCACATACTTTTAGGCCATCCATCTTGAACCCCTGGTTCATGGGATCCTTCGAAGCAGCCGACAAAGTCTTCGGTGCCCCAACCCCATAGTCTCCAATAAAGTAAGTCGGAATAGGAATCTTGGACCGGTCCTCAATGTACTCGTTGAACTCCTCGAGCTGGTCCGGAAAGTCAGGGAAGAACTGTCCCACGCATAGCAGTGCATCGAACGGACCCGCCGATTTGTTCACCTGATAATTTAGAGTTGCATAAAATCGTGAGTAGCTGAGAAAACTATAAACCCTAGGATGCAAATTCATGTACATAAGTGTGTATGAGTGTTTATTACCGACGAGACGCGCTTGAAGAGCTGGTTGAGGCGGCCAAAAACATCACCGCAGAAGAGGATTTTGGGAGGTGCCATTGAACAGAACGTGTGTATCAGTGTAAGTGGGAGTTGGGGGCGGAGAGAGAGAAGCGGGAGAGTGATGGCTGTTAGGGAATCGGGAGAGAGCCCAGAAAGAAACCGAGAGGCCAAGAAGGCTGAATCAGAATATAATTTTTTGGGACAATTGCAGTGCCGGTCCCAAACCTTTCATATTGCTGCAGATTACACCCATACCTTTAATTTTTGCGGCTTCAGTCCCAAACCTTTATATGTAATTGCAGTGGCAGTCCATTTCACACATTCTGTTCAAATTGCTATCAGTCAACAGGAAAATCTGAATTTTGACCCAAACGAGACACTTAGCCCCTATTTGTTTTCAAGATTATGTTATATGTACAAATTTTTTTTTACAAACTTCTTTACTCGCTACTCACAATGGACTGGAGATTACAAGCAGATATTTTTTAAATTCACGTTGGGTCCGCTAATTTTGTGAGAGTGAGTACATTATTTTGTCAACAAGATTTTGTACAAATATCTTTATCCTTGTTTCCAATTGTTTGAAGACAAAAATGCATTTTTGGACCATTTTTCTGCTAGCACATGAGACCTACGTGAAAGAAAAAGTAAAAAATCACGGCTTACAATGTTGTAATGGTCCGAAAATGCATTGAAATTGGGCAAAAAATTAGAAAAAAACGAGGGCTTACTTGATGAGCAAAATTGTCAAAACCAAATATTCAGCTACCAAACAAACTTGTCAGAGTGAAGATGTTGAACAGAAATAAGCTGGAGATTTCAATGAAGGTGTGTGTTGGGAGGTTTTGGCCATCATTGTTTCTCGTAGCTTGCGCTGGAGCTTTGATCGAAATATTTGCTAAGTCTGGTCCGAACCCAACAAGTCAATGTCACGATTGAGTTAAAGCACAATCATCCTCGACCCTTACAAGCAATTTTTTCTCATTATCTTTTTGGCTTAGCCACACCGGTCAAGCATTTTCATTGCTACATTCCAATTGAATCTCTTTCAGTTAAACCAACATCGTGAGGTGACAGGATAATTTAGGCATAATTGATGAATCTCAAGCATAGAGATATTATCAATTTATACATATTTTATAACACATAATTCAGTTCGTCAATATTTACAAATCAGTCTGCAACATATACCTAATTCAGTCTGTCAAAAACATAAAACAGACAGAGAAAAACAGACAGCATTGCATATAAATATTGCTAGGCTCGATATATACTTAATATACGCACAAGACAAGTATGAAAATATAGAGAAGCACAGAGAGAGCAATTTGAAGGTTTCATAGCCGGTTGTGTCCTTGATGAAATTCAGAATTGCTGATGCTAGTTTGCCCAGGTGAGAAGTGTATCCATGATTAGCTCTTCTTATAATCTGTAATCTGGGATTTGCTATGACTTTGTCAAACTCCATTGCATCCTCGATATCACCAATTTATCACTGGACCCATGGACTGTCAACACCCTGGACGTAATTTTTCACCAATCAAAACACTATATAATGGGGATATACAAATGTTATACAGTAAGTTATATTATTCTGAATGCTTACAAGTTGATTGAACCATACAGCAGACATAATTAAATTCGATGAAAAATTGTATAAGCTAACAATTTATATGGCACTAGAGCTCATGAACAATATTACCCGGGAACTTTGAGTTATCAAATGCATAAGCTGGCAGCTCTGTTACAAGAAAAACAAGAAGCTAAATGCAGAATCTAAATCTGGAACATAACACCCAATAGAGGAAGCATTTTTGAAGCATGCCGGGCAAAGAATGATATAGTTTTAAAGCTAAATGAAGACCCTTCGTTTATTCCTAATTTTAAAGATAGTAATCCAATTTGATGACCTCAGGAAAGTCAAAGACAAAGAAATGCTTCATCTGACCATCATTCCAGCAACAAGTACTGCTGCCGGGCTTTTTCTTGACTCCTCCTATTAGTTAATATGAATAAAACATTGGAACTGAAGTTGTATGCCTTCCCAATTAATAAAAGGGCATTGGTCCACAACTTAATTTACAATAGTTCTGTATTTCCAGCNTTGGAACTGAAGTTGTATGCCTTCCCAATTAATAAAAGGGCATTGGTCCACAACTTAATTTACAATAGTTCTGTATTTCCAGCACCAAGATCATGGATAGAGGAACAGCTTTAACAGACCTCATTCACATTAAAAAGTTTAGCTACTTTTTTGGTTAATCAATGAATCTGTTCTCGCTATATATTATAAACAACAATAATATGCAATAGTAAATTAAAAGTTATCTAACAGAAAGGAAACTCGAAATTAGCCACTTATACGTGAAGTAGCCATAAAAGACCTGCATTTTGCATCAACGGAAAGGCAAGCTTCATGCATGTTATATATTAAGTCGACCCATCAAACTCTCCTTGGTGACTAGACGAGTCTCTCCTACAAAAAGAAGACACACGATTAACTTACAACATAATAGGAGGCTATGTAGTAATGGAATATTAGAAGATACATTATTATATATAATTTCAAATTTTGATGTTTAATTTAGGAAATATAATTAGCGATTGTTTTTATAGCATATTTCTATTTCAATTATGACTAGTTAAAACCCTATAAGAAGGGGGCTTGTGCGATGTAATTGAAACAACTTGTGATAATGAAATAAAATGATATTCTCTCCCTCTTCTTATCTCTTTTCCACCCTCCTCTCTCTTCTTCTCTTCTATTTCCCATTCTATCACAATTATCCTATAGTATCATACATCAATTTGGTAAAAAGTTATTGTTCATCCTGTTTACGCTCGAAAATTTACTTTTAGCTCTTCTTCATCAGTCAAAAAAAGGAAAATAACATTGCTGCTATCCAAAACCACATAACAAACTGAACAACACGGCCATTCATATTTGTCAGACAGATACAACGCTTATACAATGATTATGGGTCAAATCTTTATATTCCTAATTAGTTTACACTGTATTAGTTATTACCATATTTAGGTAGAAAATTTTATTTTCAATTACCTGTAAATTAGCCGTGTACTTGGTCATTCATCGTCTATATATTGAAATGAAATCCCTCCATGAAGGGCAATGGGAACCGTTTGGACATGGTATCAAAGCCCTCATAGATTTTTTCTTCAAGTACTATCTTGTTTCTGCCTCCGTTGAGAAATATTTTGGCTTTGGGCTGTCAGAATATTCATCAGAGTTTCTGTCGGCAAATTTTGGAAAATACCGTGCAGTCAGTAGTCGGCGGTGGTTTTTGGGTTATCGGAGCTTCCTGTGGCTCATTTTCCGGTCTATTTTTGGTGTGATGAGCGTGGACTCGGTGCCTTCTTGGTATGGTATCACCTGTCGGAAGCCATTACTTTTGCGCATTATCTGGAATCTTATGATTTTCAGTTGGAAATCTGTTTTTGGCATTGGTCGACAGATTTTGTTCGCCTTTGTTGATCGGAGCATCTTTGCAGACGGATTTATTTGAGCAAGTATCATGTGTTTGGACTATACATTTTATTTTGTTATTGTTGGACTCTGTTGGGCTGTTGGGGCAAATTTCTTTGGGCTTAGGATATGTTTATTGGACTGGAATCACATAAATTTGGATTGGGCTTGCTGATTTATTGAATTTAACTGGATAAATATTTTGTTTTGCTTAATCATGTCGGAAGAAAACTCTATTATTCGTCTCAATGGAAAAAAAATACTCGAGTTGGGAATTTCAATTTCGATTGTTTGTGAAAGGAAAAGAATTATGGGGTCATTTAGATAGGTCTTCCACATATGGTCAATAATCTCCGATCCTTTACTACTGCTAAAGAAAAGTGGGATTATCTCAAACGTGTCTACTATCAAAACAATAGTGCGAGGAAGTTTCAATTAGAGTCAGAAATTGCGGACTATGAATAGGGTAATCTTTCTATTGACCAATTCTAGGCTGGGTTTTTTAACTTATGGATTGAATATTTTGGGATAGTTCATTCCAAAGTTTCCAAGGAAGCATTAGTAGCACTACAAGCTGTCCACACCGAGAGTAAAAGAGTTCAATTTCTGATGAAGCTGAGACTAGAATTTGAAACTGTGGGGGCTAGTTTACTGAACCGTAACCCTGTTCCATCTTTGAATGTATGCTCAGGAGAATTATTAAGCGAAGAACATCGTCTTGCAATACAACTTGGTATAACTCAAGAGACAATGACCATTAAGATGGTTAAGGTAGCGTATGTTGCTCGAGGGAAAGGAAATCCAAGACACAGACACAGTTAAGCTACAGTGCAAGGAGTTTGGGCATATAGCAAAGAATTGCCGTAAAAATTTTGCAGTTACTACAAAAAGGAAGGGCATATCATTAAAGACTGTCGAGTGTGGCCTCAGAATAGACAAAACAGGCCTTTTTACACAGTTGTCCAGCCTAAATCAACTGCGACATCTCCAACTGGTTCTTCCTCTACTCTTACACCTGAGATGGTCCAACAAATGTTTTTTTTTTTTGCTTTCACTGCTCTTGGTCTTCAAGGTAAGAAAAATTTACTTACCTCTCATTGGTTGGTTGATTTCCCTGCCTCAAATCATATGATAGGTAACATAGAAGCACTTTACGATTTTCGTAAGTATAAATGTGACCAACATATTCAAATAGCTAATGGGAAAACCCTTCCTATCACNAACATAGAAGCACTTTACGATTTTCGTAAGTATAAATGTGACCAACATATTCAAATAGCTAATGGGAAAACCCTTCCTATCACCGTAGTTGGAAATTTGTGACATTCTTTCACCAATATATTTGTGTCACCAGAATTATCTACAAATTTAATTTTTGTTGGACAATTGGTAGACAATAACTATGAAATTTGTTTTATTTATTCTAGTTGTTGTGTGCAGGATCAAGCATCAGGAAAGTGATCATGAAGGGACCTAAAGTGGGATGTTTATTTCATCTTCAATTTTTTTGTTTCTAATTCATTTGCTTGTATTGCCATTGCTACTAATAGTAATGTTTGGCATAAGAAATTGGGTCATCTCAATCCTAATGTTTTGAATCATCTCATAAAACATGGTTATTTAGGTAATAAAGATTTCTTTACTCACGTGTCTTTTAATTGTAGTGCTTGTAAACTCAGTA